AACGATATCGCTGATTATTATTGGCTGATTTGAAATTTTATTCCCGCGCCGTTACTCAGCGTCGTTCCCTGTAGTATACGGTGCGAACGGAACGAACGACTACGCTTATTGCACGAGCTGTACAGAACACTTTCACTGTACACTACAACTCCAACACTTTACAGTAATAATATTGTCAAATCGAAAAGAGGATGCATGAAGAACCGCCTAAGCCAATCAAATCACGTTCTATCGAATGTCTCCCAATCAGCGCAGCCCCCCCAATCCGGTATACTACATTTTGTATTGCATAGTTTGTACAAGCTTAAAAGTAATATGATCAAATGGATAGGCGATATGAATCAAACGTCCAAATTTTGGTGAAAAATAGTAAAATACTCAAGTCCCTTGAAATAATAATACAACTGTACCAACGGCCCAACCCAACTATATATTACGCATTGTTTGTGTTTCTGATACTAATAACGTTAGTTTCTACGGTACAGTAGTAGTCGTGCACCTTATAGCAACAGCGACCACTACGTCGACACGACGTTGCTCGAATGACACCCTTGGTCGATACTAGTTACACCGTGTCGGATGCTTGATTCTGCAGAATCTCCAATGCCTCCAGACGCGCCACGACGTCGTTCGCCGACGGCCGCTTGGCTGGGTCCATGTGGACACACCTCGTCATCACGTCGACAAACGCCGCTGATGTCAGCGCCTCGAGCGCCGCCACATCATACGGAAACGGCAGCTGCTTGTTCTGCTGGGCCAGCTGGAGAAGGTGTAGGTCCCCCCCTACGAACCCCTTGGTGTGGAACAGGGCGGCATGGGGGTGGGTCCTCGTGAAGATTTCGCCCAAAAGGACGCCCAGGCTAAACACGTCGGATGCTAGCGATGGCGCTCGAGTAGACTGGTTGAGCCATTCTGGAGCCTTGTATGATGTGCAAAAGTTGCCAAACGTTTCTACGGGCGCCGTGCCTGACGACAACGGCCGATGTAACAAGGCGAACCCGTTCAGCTTGACGAGAACCTGCGACGGGGAGGCCGAGGACACGAGTATGTTGCCGCTGTGCAGCGACCCGAACGGGGTCCTGGAGTGGTGGAGATGGGCTAGCCCCTTGGCCACTTGGAGCGCTATCGATTTGCGCACAGTGGGCGGCACCGCCTGTCTCGCTGAGTCCACCAACAGCGGACCCAAACTGCCTTTGGCCATGAACGGCGCGGCCACGTTGAGCGCGCCGTGGGATAAGACGACGCCCAAGATGCCGTTGATCGACTCGTGCGCGGCGACGCGGCGGACGTCTCCCACCGCGGCGACGAACGCAGGCAGCTGAGCCGACTCGAGCGGCAGGCGCTTCAACATGAGCTTGGTTCCATCGTCGAGAGTTCCCGTAACGGCGTTGCTGCACCCGCGCACCGGTGTCATCGTCATGTGTTCGGTGCCCGGAGGCAGCCACAGGCCAGTTAAGGCAGGGTGTGTCGTCCATTCGTGGCCAGCAGCCAACCGTACGTTCCTTTGGGATGAAGAAGCTTTGGCCTGCTTGGACGCGCTTTTGCCGCCGGCACGTGGGGGAGCCGTTCCTTCCGCCATCTTGGCATACTCTCCTCCTCGTCGCACGGACGAAGACGCTGCTGCTGCTGGCAGTGGGGCGGATCGGGCTTGGTGCGTGGCAGCCTGTTGTTCGAGCAGCATCGTATCACGGTGGCGCCTCTCCTTGGACCGGCGGCGGTGTAGAAAGTACGCGATCGTACCGAGCACGGCGATGCCGGCGGCAAGACCGAGCGGCAACGCGGCATTTGCGTCCGACTCGATGGGTCGGGTGAGGACGGGCAGTGGACGCAGCGTGGTGGTGGTCGCTAGGCCGTCATTAGGGTCGGAGTGGTTAGAAGCCATGGTGGTGGTGGCGGCGACGCAGTGGGGATGAGGCGCCTCTGCACAACACTTATAGGCAAGCAGTCCGCGCACTACAAACGCAAAGGTGGAAGTAGTTTATGGCATCCGCCGTATGTGCTCGGTCGCAAGCAGACCACTCACTCTCCATTAAGTCTTATACAGTCATATTTGTAGGGAGTGAGGGAGTGTAAAAGTTCTACACTCACACTCTCTTCCTATGCCACTCTCGTTGTGCCCTTTGACAACCGAGCGACCAACTCTCCCAAATTGGATACTTTTGCTTCGGTGTTTGTTAAGGCCCTGTTCGGGCAAAATTCGGAGTTTTGGGTTGATATGCGTTGCCGAATACATTAATCCACCATCGATCGGTTCTTTGAACTGTGAATATTGTATTTGAAGGGTGTCCGCCTTTGGCCCAGCGTATTGATGTGAGTGCATTAACAGTAAAATACTATACGTATAGTAGTACTATAGTACGAAACGTTGCAAGTTCAGCTAGGCGGTGTCCACCCCTTGACTTGGGGTCAGTCGTCAAGATAGTACCCGGCGAAAAAGACGGGCCGAGCACCAGCACCCCTAACCCCCGGTGGCCGTCGACGAGGATCTGGGGGGCGGCAGTCCTTCGGCCACAATGCCTGGAGGTACCGACGTCGTTGAACTCACCAGGGCTGTACCTCGGTGTCTTCGAACGTCACGCCCCCCCACTTGTCACCTTCGATACTCGCGTGGCCTGCGGCGAAGCGAGATTGGTCGGGGGCTATGACAAGGAAGTCCAGGTCCCATACGTCCCCGTCTTCATCGCCGACACGTCCACCATCCGGGGGAGGAGTCGTCGTCGAGTATATGGCCAACGCAACGCGTAGTTCACGGCGCTCCAGGACGCCTGCTCGTTGCTGCCATCGACGGGGCTGTCAGTTGCTAAACTACTGGGCCAGCACAACGGACTCGAGAGGTGACGATGGGGTCGTGATTAGAGGATATCACCTTTCTTTAAAGCTGTTTGAGAACCTGGTCGATGGCACTTAGAGTGAGCTGCTGGTACATGAACTCTATTGCTCGCTTTTGACAAGGTTCACTTACGGAGTTAACCTCCGTAAGTGAACCTTGACGTCGTTCCTTGAAAAGTTGCTGAATGCTGGTATGGTTTGACGCCACTGCGGGAGCTCGTGCTTGATGAAAGGTGTACAATATGTGTCAAGGTCCCGCACATGCGTATTAATACGACAACATTTTCCTTGCAGTTCAGGTTTTTCCGGTGTATTTGGTCCAATGCCCAGATCAGACTAGGATGTCATGCACTTCCGGGTCGTGGACGGAATAGGCGAACCACTACGGGACTTCAATTAAAAAAGCTCATTACCGACCCACGGTGGTGCATGCAGATGGCAGTGTCCCCACTGTTCAGAAACTTGCCAGGACAGAGTTGCAATAATGACAGGCCCAAAACGTGTCATCACAACGTCAGCCGAATGTCGTTGACCTGTCAATGGTGTTTTCTGTTAGGGTCTTGACCTGTCATGTCGGTCTCGCTTTTTTCGTCGGGGGGTTCTGTGGAGTTGGTGTGATAAACGATTTTGTAGTGTCGAACGCAGCTACCACCCAATGTCGTCGACGTTTGCCATCGACATGAACGCAGTCAAGGCCCACATTGACGCCGTGCAGAGCAAAGTTGAAGAGTGGAACACACAGCAAGTCCAGCACGCCGCCTTCCAAGCCCACATCCAACACAAGCAGGCCATGCATCCCTCAACCATCGCGTTGGACGTGGGGGGTATGATGTACAAGACGTCCAAAGCAACGTTGCTGGCCGTCCAAGACAGCTATTTTCATGCGTTGCTGGCGTCCGAGCACTGGACACCCGACGACGCCAGCCGCGGTGCGTACTTTTTGGACCTGCACGGTCCTACATTTGCGCGTGTCCTGGACTTTCTTCGCACGGGCCACTTGTCCGTGGACGGGCTCAATCGATGGGAGGTTCGACAGCTGCATGCGTCGCTCGAGTACCTTCAACTGGTCGATGCGACGCTGGCGACGACGACGACAACAGGTGGGTCTACGTGGACATGGGACGTCGTGGAGCCTTGTCAATCGTCGACTGTGCATTTGTCTCGCGACCGAAAAGTGCTGCATATTGCAGCGAAACCCTCCGTGTCGTCGACACGAACGGATCGGTCATGGTTCGTGCGCGGGTCGGCCCCCGTGATCAGCTTTCGCGTACAAGTGCTGGGGATGACGACGCTGACTGTGGGCTTTTGCCCTGTGACTTGCACGACAGGCATTGAAGCAATCAAGGTGGGTCGTTTCCTGACATTCACCAGCAGCGTCGTGCCGCAGCGGCTACCATCATCCCAGCACAAGTGCAATCTTTGCGACGTGATTGGAGTCCACTGGGGGGATGACAAAGTTACGTTTGAACGGAACGACAGCCCTGTCGGGACGGCCTTCGTGTCGATATTGTCGACCACCGACCACTTGGTCCCCTTCGTCTCCTCTTCGAGATTCGACACAACGACATTGTACATTATAGACTAGGACTGTCTTGTTGTCCGACCGGTAGATTCGTCCGAGGAAGAACGTGAGTAAATTATGTCTGGCCCCCTTGCGTTTCACGGAGCCTGCGTGGATGGTAACCCCCCCATGAGTCATGCGAATGGGATGTACATGAACGGGGGTGTTTACGAGCAGCAGGCAGACGATGGCGTCGAATAGTTTCGGATAAAGACTTTGCCATATTGACCAATGTTGAGCTGTACATGTAAACGAGCATAAGCATACCCGATACCTCCACATTTGATGCTGTGACAACGAGAAATGCTTGTGCTAAGCCCGCACACATATATCACAGTCGTACACTAATTCGACCTCTCGAGGTAACCATGTTCACCAATGGTGGTATTACACACGATAAGGATTTCGGACTTTGTCTTGAGACGAGGATCATAAAGGTAATGACAATACCGTAACATTAGTGTATATGTTGTTGGTCCCCACAAGGTTGCTGTGCGGAGAAATATTACTATCATACAGTAGTGTGTTTATATTAAAATGGAGCGACAATGGATATATTTAGCCAATCAGGTTGCAGGAAACCGTCATGAATGTCAAATTAGTGTATGATTTCAATTTGTGTGATACGCATCACCTTTTTACATACAAAATTCAGTACTATAAAAAATCATAAACAATCGATCGATAAATTTAGCACAAAAGTCAACCAAATTTTGGGTAAAAGGACAATATCTGTACAGTCCTGATGTAAACTATAGACGCACGTGAATTTTTGACATTTCTCAAAACTTAATTCGATTTGAAGCTTACTGTTTTGATATGATACTTTATTTAAGTTTCGAAATACATTGTTGGTGCCAAAACTATAAAATTCGAAGTACTATTTTTGAAAATTGCAAAAAACCATTTTTCAGAGTGATGCAAACTATAGACGCACTTTTTTCAGAGATTATCAATTGCATTACCGTTTCTCAACACTACTTGGGCCATCCTAGTTGGCATTCCATCAACAAGCTTACGCAAATAGGCTTGGCTGATTTGATCCCAGGAAACACGAATATGAGCCTTGAGTTCGTCCACAGTAGAAAATTGACGGCCATTCTCGTAAACTTTCCACGCCAATTGACCCCAAACGTTTTCAATTGGGTTTAAATCAGGGCTCTTAGCAGGCCATTCGATCAATGAAACACCGCTTCGCTCGATGTGCGCTTTTGTAGCTCGCGACACATGGATTGAAGCGTTGTCTTGTTGAAAAATAGGCTCCACAACCCCAAAATTTCGACGCAGGTTTCCCAAAAACGGCAACAAGTGCATGTCAAGAGTGCGACAGTAACTTGCACTGTTTTGCTTTCCTTCAAGGATAGCAAGCTCGCTTCGTCCATCAGCGCTCATGCCAGCCCAAATCATGACACTGCCGCCACCGCTCACGCGCTTGGTGTAGATTTCTTCCTCCTTCCTGAGGTCGTGCCAGTAATATTGGTAACCATCTGGGCCGTCCAAATTAAATTTCTTTTCGTCACTAAAGACGATGCGGGACCACAGGTGAGATTTACTCATCCATTCGGCTGCAAACTTGGCGCGAGCTTTCTTGTGGTGGGGCTTGAGGGATGGACGAGGTTTACGCTTGATGTACTTCACCAGCTTCGTTGAACGCAACCATTGACGCACAGTAGATGGCTTTATTTTGTTATCTAAAGCATCGGCAATACGCTTGGACGAGTATTGCTTGATCGTAGCCATCCGAAAGATGCGGCGGAGCATTCGCTTGGTCACTTTTGGCTTCCTGCCAACACGTTTTGGTGGCTTTTGTTGCGCGTCTCGAGCCAGACAAGTCCGAATGGCCTTTTCGCTGCATCCGATGGTACGTGCAATGTACCGGTTGCTTTTGCCTTCATGGTGGAGGGCATGAACGGCACCAACTTGCTGTGGGGTCAATAGCTTGCCTCTTGGCATCTTGTATTTCAAATTGGTGTCGCTGACATTTTCATGGTTGTATTACTAACATTTAGAAGCTTCTAGAATGGTAAATACATGTATCAAACGTACTTTATTTGCCAAACTTGAAGTGCGTCTATAGTTTGCATCACCCTAAAAAATGGTTTTTGTAATTTTCAAAAATAGTACTTCGAAATTTATAGTTTTGTTACCAACAATGTATTTCGAAACTTAAATATAGTATCATATCAAAACAGTAAGCTTCAAATCGAAATAAGTTTTGAGAAATGTCAAAAATTCACGTGCGTCTATAGTTTACATCAGGACTGTACGTACTATCGTTAGCCATGGGGGAAAAATGAGAAACGTTAGACGTATCTAGTATTTGCTGTTTGTGTCCTTGCCAATATTTTTTATTGATATATTAATATGTACTATTGCTTTCTCTCGTTATTCTGAAGTGCCAAATGTGTCGGCAGATGACAACCAACACATTGCACTACAATCAACACCCCCTTGGTGGAGACACATTTGATATTCGACCAACCAACACACTATCATAATAGGGGCAAAGCAGGAACAACATGTAGTTATCAGCAAAATTAACTTGTGGGGGCCGCCCCCCCCCCCCTTCTTGTGAACCGTCGCGTGGTGGTCGGGGAGGGGGGGGGTAGGGGCGTTGGTAGGAGTTAGGTCCTCCTCCTCTCGTTCTTGTGGCGGCAGGCAAACTGGTGAGGCCACGGGCATCAAGTGTGCTGACCAACCACGAACGGGTTACGTGTGACGAGGTTGTGTCGAAAGCCAGGGGGTGGCGGCGGCGTCGATTTCGTGGTTTCTTCAAACAGAAAACTCAAACTCGACACTTGGTGCTCGTACCGGCTGCCCTCTAACTCAACCGCGTCCAAATCGTTCCAGGGGTTGCCACTGGTCTTCACAGGTTTGTCCTCGTGCTGCTGCCACGTTGGGCTCTGGTTTTGCCACGTCAGAGCTTCGAGCGGCCGCAGACCACTCCCCAAATGCCGAAACGCACTCAGATCCGCCCCTCCAAACGATGGACTGTCCGTGATATTACTTCCCTCAGATGACCACCATGTCGAGCTGGAGGGTAGGGGTGGGGCTGGTGGTGGGGGTGGTGGTGCCACCAGGGGGTTGTACACAATCACTTCCCCGCAATCTTCTTCGTCACCTTCTTCGGCATGCCGATGGTTCATATGGTCCTCCTCCAACAATGGATGGTCACTACTGCTGCGGCTTGGATGGCTATTAAGAAACGAAGCCGACGCCCCGACTAATACACGTTCGTGCTCCACTCGAGTCGGAAGTACGTGATGATTGTGTGGTGTCCACACTCCTTGCCGTTCTGTCAAGAGATGCTAAACACACATGACAACACGATTCAAATGAGACGAGTCCCCCAGCCGCCAAGTTTCCTGGTATCCTCAAAATATTCAACACAATCGAACCGAAAGATTTCGATATATATATATATATTCAAGGGAATAGTGGAAGGAAAATGATTTTCGCCAAGCAGAGTGTGGAATTAATATATACAAGAACCATCATGAACCACTAGGTACAATCAGAATAAGGTACAACACATTCCGGAATATTGTCAAATTGAAACTGGATCCACATCCAGAATCGAATATCTTAAATGGACTACCTAAGCCAATGAAATCACGTTCTGTAGAGTTTCTGCCAAAGTAGTGATTCAGTTCAATTGGGCAAAACCTGATATATACTAAACTGCATTGTATAGTATAGTTTGCTAACAATAGAGACAAATGGTATTGGCAAATAATCGATTCCAAAGTCCAAATTTGGGTGAAAAGCACAAAATATGAGTGAGAATACAGGTTCAGACCACCACTTTGCAGTCAAAAACAACAACCAGGTAAATATATATATATACTACAAGATATATATATATATATATATACCTGTGGCACCATCGTCGCGTGTGCAAACCAATACACGTTGGCCCATCGGATAGACGTGGCGTCGACATCGGCCACCTCGGCTGGACTTCGCCGACCAAACGCATACTCCACTCCCAGTGGTTGAAAGAATTGCACTTCGATACTTTCCTTGAGATGGGGCTTGGCTGCTGCGACGGCGGCCGCGTCGGGCATCTTGATGTACGGCGTAGCTTCCTGTCGCCGGTTTAAAGCGTCCGCCAATGCTTGTGTCCATGCCCAGAGGGGTGACGTGGTCTCTTCCAGTGGGGTCACCGTCAAATAGTGTGGATGGGCACGGAAGAAATCACACAATACGCTCACAGGTCCGAGCAGCAGCGGCTTATCGTGGACAAACTGCAAGACCAAACCTGCCATGGCCAGCGTCAAGCTTATCGCGTGCGATTGCAAGTTACTTCGGCAAATGCAAAACATATTGACCGCAAACAACTTGAGTACAAGGGCGTCGCCTAGCACGCCGGCCGCGAGAAGCGATGTGAATGCATCGCACACGATGGACGAGTCCAGCGCATGTTGGTCCGGCGAGGAAGGAGGTGGCGGCGGCGCGACCAGGAGGCCATGCAGCCGCGTGAGGCGATGGAGGAATTGTTTGAGATACGCCGACTTGTCCTTGGGCAGGGACGACGCGGAGATGGTTTTGCCGCCGTCTGCCACGGGTGGCAACGCGCGATGCCGATTGCGTTCAAACAAGAGCACCAAGTTCTCTTCGGCCGTGGCAAATGGGGTCGGGAGCAGCAGTGACCGACAGTACCGGTACACGGCGATGGCTTCGGCTTCGACATATGTCGCGAGCACCGCCAGCTGGTTGTGGGGGTTGCCGTTGTCGGGGAGGATGGCTAGCGCGCGATGATAAAAGCCTTCGGCCACTGCAAAGTGCTTTTTCGCTTTGTGACTGTGCAGTTCCCGGTATCGTGCAATGTCACCGAGAAATATGAGACAGCGAAACATGCTGTGCTGCAGCGCGGCGGCGGTGGACGACGACGACGATGACGACGCAAAGTACCCGTGCAACCGTTCATAGTACGCCGCGGCTTCGTCTAGAAACGCTTGGAACTCGCCCGACAGCTTGAAAAAGTGATCGCGAATCGATCGATCGGTGCCCGATTGACTTGCATACTACCGATCGATGGTCAGAATGGAGGGGACTACTATAAGGAAGGGAGCTACACCCAAGGAACGAAGGTGCACGATGGAAACGGAAGGGTACCTTGCGAATGCGACGGCGAAAGTCTTCGATCCGTTTGTAAAAACACGGTTTCCACAACACCTGCTCCGTCTCCTTGGTGGCCGCGACGCCCGGGAAGGCCGACACAAACTGCTCAGCCTTCTCCATCAAGCTATTCACACACAGGATTGAGGTGAGTTCGTCGTGACGAGCGTCTAGGATACATACTTGGCACGGTGGAAGAGCGCGTTTGGGGCACTGCACGGCTGGCTTCGCAAGATCTCCCGCAGGATGGCATCGTTCTCCACCACATCCCTACACAAGGTGAGCATCCCGCGGGGTTCGTTGAGGCCATGCATGTGTACCTGTAGAGACTGCCAGCGTCCATCCCACTTCCTCAATGCACCGTCGACGCTGCCGACGACGAGTGTTGGCAGCAGAAAACTCTGTTCGCGGCTGGCCAAATGTTCCATTGGCCCGAGCAAAACCTCCAACATGTGATAAATGCTTTAGCCAAATAAACCTTTATAACATAATACCTAAAACGTACTCACGATTCAATCGTCGAATTAGTTTTTCTATTGCACTAATTCGTACCATTATGGTAAATTACCCCAATAACGTTACTCCGGAGTAGTTAGCGTTTTAATCTTCTTTTGATTCAGATCTTATACAAATTCTCTATAAATACAAGTGGACTAACAGTAAATATAGATATTGTGTATTCTACTCCAAATGGGCAATGGGCAATAGGCGGTTCTAATATGCGAATTCCAAAAAGAGACAGACACATGAAAAATAAAAATCATCAATACAAACTTGAAGATATATTTAATTGAAACGATACAATTTCAGAATTATTTATGGAATTCGCAAGGTGGTTCACGTTGCGCTCCATACACAATTGCCTATTTCACCTTGCTTTTTCTGGTTCCGAATGTCCGCGAAATGACCGCAATGACAAAAAGTGGGATTTCCCTCACAAAGCAATCGTTCCTAATCACCCTATTATGACACAGTTTCGTGAGGTCGATCCATCCAATCTTGCAGCATTGACAGACACTTCAGCGCATAGGCTTCGTATGCGAGTCTCTCCGCATCCCCAAAACACATGCACACCTATGTACGTACATACATCTCAAGTACGTCAACTGGACGCCCGGGCTACCTGCGACTCTACATGTCGTCGTACTGCAGTTGTGGAAAACTGGGTTCGATGTCCATGTTCTGCCCAAATCTTCGAAATTCTAACCAATCAAATCATCGCGGCTATTTGTTGGCGAGTTTCACAATGGCCCACAGTTCGCAAGTTTAACCGGAAAGCACAAGATTAATACCCATCACAATATCTCTGGTTGTGTTGCTGCTTGTGTTCTTGTCCTTTTACCCAAATATTTGGACTTATCGTCGACGGAAATCCCGTCGATTTTTTGTGCTGTAAAATATGTGTGTTGCTAATCGCACTAATATTTTATTGTCATACACTATTTATACATATGACACTATTTATACATATGCTGATGGGCTGAACTGACATGTTTCTAAATTCTTTTGCAGTTGCGAATAAACACACTAAGTTTGCGTCAATTGTTCACGGTTACAATATAAATACTGCAACTTGGCTCCCACGAGCAGTTGTAACGTCTCTTACATTGGTGGCTGTGGCGTGGGCTCGTGGGGAAGCCGCATCCGCTCGGGGTAAAACGTGTAATTCTTAGGATATTCCAAGAAATTCTTGAGGCGCGAACTGTAAATGTCCACGTACCTACATACGTCAAACACCGTGTATGTTGGTCATAATATTAATATATTGTCAAATCGATTCGAAACTCGAGCACTCGGATAGAATCGAATGAGTGTTAAGAGAATCGATTAAAGTACCACCGCCTAAGCCAATCAAATCACGTTCTGGTACATTTCTGCCAATTCAAACGTTTGACTCGGCCAAGTCCCTCCGCATGGGACAAAACCATATATATGTATATATATATATACCACTAATGTTTGTGGATAGTATAGTTTGCCACGAGTTTAAATTGGACGGATTCGAATGCATGCTACTGTATTTGGCGAAATGACTCAAGTCCAAATATTTGGGAGAAATGCACAATACAGTATCCCACCGTGCACTTTACATCATATGTACAGTACAGTACAGCAATGAATAGTACAGTATAACAATGAATAGTACAGTACAGCAATGAATATAGTACAGTACAGCAATGCATGCATCATCACGCACCGCTGGGCCGAAAATGCAAACTGCGACGGGTGCGACTCGACGCGAAACACCGAGCCAAAGTTCGGATTGATCAGCGCCTCCATTTCCATCTGCAATTCCGAGTGCAAGTTGACGTAATGGTGGTACACGGCGTCGGCGGCATCGTGGGGACGTCCGTCGTCCGTCGCCTCGTCGTCGTGGACGTCGGCTTCTTGCAGCTGGCGCAACAACACTTCCAACGAGGCATGCTATACAAAGTTCACACGTTAGTTCTCGTTCTCCTAAACACAAGCTAAAATAAACGGGGCGGCGACACGTTGGTTTTGTGTAAACGAGTCGTAAAAGTAGTAGTAGTAGTAGATCGTGTGGTGGTGGTAGTAGTAGTACTACTAGTAATACTAGTTGGCCGAGTTGGACTCGACGTTGCCACGAACTGCAATACGTACGTACGCAATAGCCCCCACCAAAAACAACCAAAGCGAATCCAACATCCCTTGGGCTATATAATCAGTGTAGGAGTAGTACATTATTTATAGTGTTCAGAGTACTAGTAGTAGTACTATAATAGTACGACTCTGGTATGCTAGAACTGTAGGTTGCAACATACTAGTACACTCGATGGTTGGTATTGTCAATTGACAGTACTGTAGCAGAATCGCCAAATGTGTTCTAAAATATTCTAGCCAATCAAAGTGCACCAACAAGAAATGTCAATCAATCATCGATCAGCATGGGTTGGCCCAGTAGTCAAAATGGACACATACAGTATCAGCGATTAACAGTAAATATATTTAAAATCTGACGGATTTCAGCGAAAAGGGCAAGATATAGAGGCGGTAGATGCTACCTGAAACGCAAGGCGTTGGTACGCAGGAGAGTTTTGGATTTGAATTTCATCCTCCAGCTCTCGAATGATGGCCCCAGTGCGCCATCCCAAGATGCGATTCGGCTCGACCAAATCGGCAAACAAACTATCCCTGTACATAACGTAATACATGACAATACTAGTAGTCAGTGGAGATACTAGTATGGCTCGCTAGTACACTACTACGTACCCAATGTACAACACTTTGCCACCACGCCACCCTTTCAACGCAATCAGTTGTCGCAAACTGCCCTGCAACACTTATCCTTTAGAAATCTATTTTTTTTATAATATATATATATACGCGTTGGTGGGGTGGTACACCTGAACTAGTACTACGTACTTGGGTGTATACGTGATGGGGAAGGAGGTCCGTCACCGCTTGCCACTAGCATGCAGTCAATGATTTGGTTCATGAATAATAATAACTTCAAATATTAAAAAATAATATAATGGGACAATATCTTACTTGAACTTGTCGCTTTTCCACGTCAAATAGCCGAAACGTGCGGCTTCGGGTGTAAAAGTCGGGCTTCTTCGCGCTTACAAGCACAATATCGAAGAACTAACCAGTCAATATGAACACCATGAGCAACCAGACCAAAATATACATATATACCATGGCCGAATCAAATGTATCAGAGCCAAATGAATATATATATATATATATATGTACCTGTCGCCAGTCGTTGCCAACCATGTACCGAAGACCAGCGTCAATGTAGCGATATGAGCTGTTGGTGCACACAAACAATTTCTTTCCGTCTTTCTACATATATATATATATATATATATATTTATTTATATACAGTATATAGATAGATACACTTTTTTTGCAGGTTAATAATATACTAGTACGACACGGACGAATTTAGATCCTACTCATTGAATGATGATAGTCCATCGCACCATCGAAAAGGAAAAGTGGGCATGGCAAATAAGTCGGGATATAGAAATATTCAAAAAGGTTTGGAGAACCATTTTATTACTTTAGATCCGTAACACACCACAAGACACAAATGTTCATCGTATCATTATATTTAGCTATAGAATGACAAAAAAGTTTATAGTTTTAACGCAATATTCGACACAATATTACGCACAACATGACTATGCATTTTGAACCTGAAAGCGACTGAGCAGTTCCCGCAGCTTGGTGTTGGGCTCCATGTATAATGGCAGGTCTTGCACCACCGCCTTGTGCATCTTTCCAGACGTGTGCACTTCTGCGATAGACGACTCAATGTCCTATATACACAACACACCGAATCACGACCAAGACTACGTCGCTAGACACGCTTAGTCAGCCAAGAATGCATTGTAGCCGGCTACGCCTCGTGTCTGCTTGAGCCGGCTAGACTTCAACAGTGTAGTGTAGCTAGGCTCCAACACTACACTGTAGCCGGCTAAACGCCAACCAAAAAGTGTAGCCGGCTACACACATCGTCTCTAGCCAGCTCGACTCCAACCGTACACTGGCTAGGCACCAACCATACAGTGTAGTCAGTTATGCCTCGTGTCCACGCTAGCCAGCCATACATTGTAGCCAGCTAGACACACAGACCAACCAACCATGCAGTCGGCTACACTTTCTACATAAACCCTGGCTACCGGCTACGCACCTCATGGACAGCGCGTGGCTCGTATGCAATGCCGTGGTCTGTGAAGAACTGAATCACGTCGGCAAACAGACACGCCTGGGCGACTGAGAACAAGTCGTTGAGTGGCTTCATGCATTCTGCGCGGTATGAAATGGGAATGTGCCGGGAGCCGTTGTACGCGAGGAGGATTTCTTCTCTGGAGAGGCGTTGGCGCCCCCGGAACACGCCTACGAAAACTCGTCGGCAAAACCAACAGTCGCGAGACATACTAGTAGTAGGTATACGTATGTATTTGGACGGTATATATGTATCATACTAGTAGTAGTATATGTATATGGACGGTCCTGTATATGTTAGTATGTACCAGTGTACGACAGCTTTTGGTGCGAGCTGATTTTGCACAGCAGCGCCTTCTCCGTGTCGATGGCGAGGCCGCGGATGGCAAACGAAGGATCGTACTCCAGCGCGCCAAGAAGGGCGTGGGGGTACCGTAGCTTGTGCACCTAAACATATCATAAAGTCGAGTACAGTACTGAATAATCCACACAAAAATGACCAAAACCATAGTATTACTGAAGCATAAATGAAATACAATATTATCAGTATACTTCGAATACTAAAGAAAAACGATATAGTTGTTCGTTGGCAATCAATATTGTGCTTTTCAGTCAAATTTGCCTATTTTGGGGGATTGATAAATCGCCAACTAATCGATCTAAGGAGTATGATTGGCTATAAAGAATCACGGTTGCAATATGATTGGCTAAAAAGATTGATTGATGCATTGCAGTCACAATGCTACCCCTTAAACTCAGTTTTATATGGATTTTCGAAGCTCCGGCGATTGTAAATTTTGAGTACAACACACAATACTATTATGCTAGCTACGACATCCATTATATTCCAAGCTACGAATGTGGTCGTCGATCGAGGTGGCATACGACAGTAGTACTTCATTGCTATTAATGTATGTATTGTGAATTAGCTATAAACTTCCAAAATTCGTGTGGTTTGTATAATCAATATTGAATCACGCTGGAGTTTTGATTGGTTGAATAAACTTGTCCATTCTGTAAGAGCCAATCAAAAAGATCCACTCAAAAACGAATTAGCCAATAGCATCAATTCGTGAATCGATTCGGCGGCGTGATTCGATTCAACGGGGTTTGAAATTCGTATCGAATCCACAATACTAGTATTAATAGTAGTGCTCTGTTTTTATTATTAGGTTGATAAGGTTAACGATATAATAGTTTAAACATGGAAATCATTCCGAATACACAAAGGTAAAACAAACAAACTACCGTTAATAATACCAGCCAGCTTCATTGACGGCTAGTAGCTCCAAAAGGTACACTCAGTAATCTCACATTCGCCAAATGACTGAATACGCAGCGTGCACGAAGAGGCAGATGTGGACGTCATGTACCATCGCATCACGCGCCATGTTGTAGATCAATCGTTGAAGTTCCTCCGTGTAATGGCACAGCGTGTAATCATAGTCTAGGCATGTCCATATCGTAAGTCCACGCACATATTGGCACGATCATTGGGGCAACCCAATGGGGATTGATACATGTTGTACCAAATCCAATCACCTCCACTTGGCCCAGCCTACCATACGTGCATCCGGCGTTGAGTGTACCACTGGAACAGCAGAAGCCCGGTCGACGTACCGCAGCAAGTTGTTGGCAAACACGTTGCGTGTGGATTGCTTGGGCAGGGTCTTGGTCGGTTCAAATGCTGCTCGGCGTTTCTACGTCCAAGTTCTTCCATGAGCCAACAACAACATTGTCATTCATATGTACCTCGTAGTCGTCCACTAGTTCCTTGATGGCTGGGCTAGCATGCGTCGCTACACATCGTTGGGAAGCAAGGCGGTGGCCGCCAGGTTGTCGTCGCACCATCATCGACCACATGTTGAAGTTCAAATACTGTGAAAGCAATTCGGCTCCATATATTAGTGTATTGTCGTTCCGAAATAGTGTGTGAAATTCTATCAACACTCCATATTATTAAAACGTAGGGTTGGTTTACAGTAATGTTACGGTATTGTGCTTTTCACCCAAATCTGGTAACGAACGTTACTACAATAGGGGGTAAACGGATTGACAGTGAGCTGAATAAGTCATTTGGATTGGCAGAAATTCAACAGAACGTGTTTTGATTCGGTTCTGTACCAGTAATTCATTCTCCTACTAACTGTAAGCCCAGGGGCGGCTCCAATTTCGAATCGATTTGACAATACCAGTACTAGTACTTTGTATGTGGGGGCTTCAAAATGGACGGAAGTGGACAAGCCTGATCATGTAGAGCTGGCTTGGAGGGGGCAGGCACGCGTCTCCAATCCCCGTCACTTGTCTCCTTCAAGCACGGACTTGCCAATTGCCACTGCTGGAACCAGAAGGTTGGGGATATGAGTTTATGGTCCGACAACACTGGGGGTTTGGAGCGGTTGAACCAAGCGACTCGGAAAGCAGGTCCCCCCGTCCTGGGCGTTCGACAGTCGCCCCATGAGTTCGCGGGGCGACCGTTTCGACTGATGTGTCTATCATTTCGTCGATGAGTCCATACGACAATAGCCATGACCCCACTGGCAAGAATGAACACAACGCACAAGCCAATCCACAGTGGGTTTATGGGGGGGGATGTAGGGGCCAGCGTCACAGTGGGGCCAGGGGTAGGGTCCGTAGATGGTGCTGGTATTGGCGTTGAGGGAGTGGTGGTAGTGGCACCTTCGATAGCGGAGGGTGAAGTTGGTGGGGGAAACGAGGTGGTCGGAAGGGAGCAAGCATCGCTCGAGGATCGTTTTACCACACATCCCAGCACCACGACGGGGAGTCGATTGGGCAGGGGCTGGCAACACGAACCATTGGCGAGCCGCGGTTGTGGACCGGGGCACACACCTAATGCACGGGAAAGGTTTCTGCCCCCACAGATTGGTCCGCTAGGAGCTGTAAACACACCAGGCACACTCGCAACGCTGACATTGAGAAATGGAGGTTGTTGTTGCGCGGTTGCCACGGAGGTAGCCACGACAAGGAGAACGATGTTGGCAATCAATGGGCAAGGTACATGAGGAAGGATCGGGTAAGACATGCTAGTGCCACCGCCGATAAGGGTTTGCGCTTTTGCCAAAGCGTTACGAAGGGGTTATTTATTGTGTGGTTTCTACGGGAGGCTGACTACTTTTTACGTCTTTCATCCGAGACCCCGTCGTCTTAAGGAGTTGCCCACATAATAATGCACCAGTAGTTCACCGATTTCAACGCCGACTTGTATCAATTGAAGCCGCTTTATCCGTACTTGACTGACTGTGCATACTACAGTACATAGATAACGTAACATGACAACTTCATTTAATTCGAAAGGGGGCCCACGGTATCTCCGTCCTGCTTCATCATTTTCAAAAGTCCTAAAGGAAGAGAATCCCCAGGTGAACAGCCCATGGTTAACAGTAAGGTCTGTAAGGTGTTATACCCTTAGACAAGGCTTGAAGTCCTTGGAAACCGTTTTAGACGCGGAACCTCTATAATTCTGAGTGCCAATTTACAGTGGTCGAGGGCATGCAGGACACTTTATGTGCTTGTATTTGAGATTCTTGAAATTTTATGGTGCTAGAGTCATCTAAACACTACAAAAAAATGCCTTGTCTTTCGACAGCTATTCCAACTTTGTATTGATATTTTTTAGGAAAATAAGCCGTAATAACGATAGACCTGGACAAGTCCAAAAGAAGTTACGGTTCAGATTTTCGATTGGTGAAAAATTGATCGAGTAATAGAATTTACACCAACTGGCCTTTTTGTATGGAAATATATGGAGCCAGGCACATTTTTGGTAGCACTTATCCGTACGAACGTTTCCATTGTATCCGGATTATTCAGGACGTTTAACCTAATTACCAGGTAAAAACGTAACTAATACTAGTAATGACTTAACGTCAACATTTCGTGGGTTTAACTGAAAGAACCGAGGCGTTTAATAGTAAAACGTCTCCTCCTTAGGATGGCCGATCCGTAGCCTTCACAGTTAGATGACTTGCACCATATGTCGATTAATATTCTGACAGAGAATTCCCTGTTCAGGCGGGAGGTGAGAAAATATTTTCGAAATGTTCTAATGTGCCATGACGGAATGAGAATTATTGATAGAATATCATGTTGGTAAAAAATGGACAGTTGTAGTTGATACTCCGAAGTAGTTTTTTCTGTCAGATGTCAATTTATTTATGTCAGATTTGGTAGCCATCCACGCAAAAGTTTTCGTTTGAAAAATTGTCAAAATATTTCTGAAAAGCTGCAAAAAGTGGTGTTTTCTGAGATTTTTTGTGGCAGCCAGAGTGGCCGTGAGAAAGATAAATTGAAATTCAGTTGGCATACGTAGTTTTCTTCAGTTGATTCGATTCTGCCATTAACAGTGTAGACAAATTCACATTATGTTTCGAGGAATGGGTTGAAATACCTTTCAAAATACTCGCATAACAATAACATTACTATTATTAATAATAGTATTATTAATATTATTGATCCTAGTAATACGTAGTATACGTATACAGTACGAGTATACAGTATTGTAAGCTTGAACAGTTCAACAGTCGTGAGTTTTAACCTTCCTTTTTGTATAAAACTGCGAATAGACATACATAGGTTCACTGTATGATTGGTGCATACTCCAATTACGAACTATGATTGGTGCATTTTCATAGGAATAAATTGGCACTTTCTATGAACCTTGCAAAAATGGACACCATTAGGCATCGACCACCACCAACAAACGACTTGCTGTAACGTTCGTTCGAGTTTTAATTACTATTTATTGTATTATTAATAATAACTGTAAGACCCATCTGCACGAGTACTGTACCGGTATTCACTTTTCGGATAGTCCTATATCAAGGGGGATCATCTCTAGCTCTTGAGCAAGCGCAACATGGCCGCCACGTCGAGCCAGCGTGGCCGCACGGTTCATGTCACAGAAAGTGATCAAGTGTTCCTTCAAATACCCGACGACAGCGGCATGTCCAAAGCTCGCGGCGTCGTTCATGGCGTCGACGGTACATCGTTCCTTTCGATGTGTGTGTAGAAAGGTCACCACATTCAAATGTCCATTGCGCGCCGCCTGGTCCATCGCGTCCGTGGTGCAACCCTCGTGTCGGTAGTTGTGGAGGAACTGGACAATGTCCAGATGGCCATTGGCCGCGGCATCGTCCATGGCGTTGGTCGTACAAGTCTTACCAAGGTCGTGCAAGTACCGCACAACCTGTCCAAAACCCCGTCGACTTGCGTCGTCCATCGCGTCCGCCGAACACCCGTCGTCGGGGCGATGACAATGTAAAAACTTCACAACTTGTAACTGTCCGGCCGCCGCGGCCATATCCATGGTTTGGCTCGAAAAACGGCCGAGCGTGGTGTCGTGGAGTAGACGGAGCACGTCCAATTTCCCCGTGGCGGCAGCGTGGTGCACGGTGGCGTCGCTGCAGCCTTCGGTCCGACGCTCGACGAGAAAGCGAACGACCTCGATGTGGTTCTCCCGTATCGCCGAGTTCAAGGCATACGTGGTGCATCCTTCTTGGCGTTGCTCGTGCAAGAATATCACGACAGCAAGATGGCCGTTTTGAGCGGCGCTGTCCATGGCGGACGTCGTGGCCCCTCCTGGACTGGCGGCGTGAAGAAACCGCACAAGATCGAGATGGCCGAACGATGCGGCCAAGTCTAGGGCCTGGGCAGTGAACATAGCAGGGCGACAGGGCAGCAGGCGCTGGACGACGCGGACGTCGTTGCGAGCGATCGCTAAGTGCAACACGGCGGCGGTAGTGTTCCGGGGGTAGTAATAATACCCTCCCTGGGTCAGTTTCGTGGCCAAAGTTGGGCGAAAGTACGGGCGCAGGTCGTTAAAGATCCCGTCTTGATAACACACGATGCCTTGCACCAAGTCGCGCGACGTGAACACAGTAGTCGCGTTCATATCGTAGCGTATAATCCCTCACAAGAAGCGTCCAGCATCCAAATGATATAAATAGCTTTCCTATTCCTGTAAATAAGAGCGACGTGGCGACGCTATAGCTCGTCGCCACCGATCGGGGCAGATAGGGAGGTCTGCTCAATCAAGGATGGGGACATCACTTAGGATAGCCAGGAGGTCATCTATGGAGGGCGGGGAGGAGTCTGTTCCAACTCGAGTTTGGATGTCGCCATTCCGACAAGTGTAAACTGCTGGCAAACTGAACCTCGTGCCGCCCACAACTTGTACGAGGCTTTGATATTCGACCGCGTCCACGTTCATGGTGGCCAGCAGCACGATGGGTTGTGTGTGCTGGTTGCTCAACTGGTGCAACCTGCAAGGGTCAAACCAACAGTGAGTCATGCAAAGACGACCACAGGGTATAGTTACCGAGGTAATAGCGCACTGCACGATGAACACCGCAACGAGTAAAAGGCTATGAAAGCAACGGGTGCCGTCGGGCTGTTGGAGGTTGCTGCGATAAACGCATGTAACTGGACCATCGACGTGATCTCAACGACTGCAGACGAGACGCCCTCGCTTCCTTGCTCTTTTGATGAGGGATCGCTTTGTAAGGTCGGGTGCGACTGTAGAAAGGCAACCAAATGTTGGGCTAGCTCTGTGCCGGGGGGTGGATAATGTTGCCGGATGAGCGCCTCCAGGGCTGTCCCTTGCTGTGGAAAGGCATTGTACGTGTCAGGGTCCTTATACCACACAATTGCGGGGGTTGCTGTGACGTCGAAAAAGGTTGCCAGCTGGGGTGACGTATCGCTCGGCATGAGCAGAAAGCTCACGTCATACGTTCCTCTGATATGCTTGCTGGACAGCACCTTCAGTTCAAAGTTACAAAACATGGCCACATATCAAGCAAGTGGGTTGTCTTGTTACCTGCTCGGCCAGCCTCAATAGATCGTTGTGGGTGTCTACCACGGAAGGATCGGAGAAAAGTAGTCCATGTGCAGTATGGGCGGAATAATCAAACGGCGCGTATGGATCAAATACATCCAGCCAAGGACGTTGACACTTGACAACGAAGGCTGCTAAGAGACCGACTGACCACGCTCCATCGTACAAATTCTGTGTGTTGAGGACGGGATCATACACCCACAGCCGGGGCCCTAGCTTACCCCATGCGCCGTCCACGGCCCAATCATACGCCCGAAGTGCCACGACGCCGACGTCACTTTGTGCAGCCAACGCTTCCGCGACCAGTCTGTCGGGGCTATGAAGGTCCGGAACCACGACCAGCGCAATGGGTTCTTGGGCTGCGGCGACATAACATGTCCACTCGTCGATCGAATCGAACTCGACCAACGGAGATGTGTTGGTGAGCCAGGTTTCGATGGCTTTCGGCGTGGCGGGTCCAATGTACTTGCGGGGGACGGTAGCGTCACTCTCGAACAAGAGGTACGCTGGATACCCCCGTACGACAAACCCTGTGGGGGAAGTCATCGGATACAGCGACATGTCCCATGCTCCAAACGATAGATCGGGAAGGGTGATTGCCAATGCTGTCGCTGTATCGATAAACGTTGCGATGGTCGATACGTTGTATGGCTCCCACTACGCATGTCGCAATACATAATGAATAAGACAACGTGGCGAGACCGAGTTTGTTCGTGTACCGATTTGAAAGCAATTACAAGCATGGGGGTGAACTTGTGGGCAGTGGAAATGTCAGTAATGTCGACAACAGGAACCCCAGCTACCACCGCCATCATCACCATGGCAAACAACCACAAGCAAATGCATCCACGGCCTGCCAGGAGCCGCAACATGCTCCTCTTGGAATTCGTGTCGTTTCGATTGTGGAAACCCGTAACGCCTGTAACCGACCTACTACGTAGTACAAATCACACGTTGGACAACCGAGTAAATTCAGTACGCCGACCGTCTCAGCTACAGTAGCTTTGTAAATTCCCCTGTTTATCGTGGTGGGTATGTTGCCACCTTCTAGGAAATGCTACGCCCGATGTATAGTTGGGCTGCCCCTTGGGCTACTGTACCCCTTACGTGAACTTCAATCCCCTCTCCCCCCAACAGCAAGCAACGACTTTTGAAGTCCAAGTCTGAGAAACAACGTGTGCTACTGTTGAACGTCGACGTGACCTTTTGAACTGGAATTGCTACCATGGTGCCAAGTGAAATGCCAGGAGATACTGTATATCGACTGTATACGTATACTGTGCAGTAGTACTAGTATCTGACATGCAAACTGTAGCTACAGTAGTAAGATCTGAAGGCGACCAATCACACCAGGAGGAATACTGTACTACTAGTATGATGTGAACCCGGTATGTGCTCAATGTATACAGTACGGTATCCTACAGTAAGTACCGCACGACATGGCCAAGTTTGCTGCTTGAAACAAGTGCAACACTGTGTAAAGCACATCGCGCATCAAAATCTCCCTGAACCAGCAACTAGTTCACCGCAGCCGTTGACTAGTGAGCCTCTACACTACCCCGGTGTGGATAGGCAACTACACTATCGTTTGTGAAGGCTTTGGCAGTGTCTAACTGTAAGCTAACATGTGATCGACGGGACCTTGTGACAGGGCACGTCGATCTTTCGCGCGATGTCGATTTGAGCCAGGACAGGATTACTGTGCCGTCCAACACCTAAACATTGATGTGTGGATGTATGTCATGGTATAAGTTGGGCATCTATTCGTTCGAGTAATTCCCCAACAGTTCAAAGGTACGTCTAGTGGGGGAATTCCTTGGATACTTCTTTGAAGTAAGAAAGATGACGGCAATGTACTAGTACTATATGTTACAAAAAACTTTGTAACCTGGGACTACTTCATCCAAGCACACATACTTCGAACTGTAATGTTATTCCTGCGGTTAAGTGCATCCATCACACTGGTTAGTTATCGCAAACCACTGAGACGCTTTAACCCATGTACCTGTAGCTGACATGCGTTGTGCTGGTGCTATCATTTGAAATCACACCACTTTACTTAATTGTGCAACAAGTCCAATGTTCACGCGTCCTGATTGGCTGTTTTAAGTTAACTAAATTTCCCCACTAAAGATGTCTGTGACGTTAATGTTACTACAGTGGTTTTGACGTTTAGGAATACCTTACACTAGTCATTCCGGTTCACATCTTTGGGACAAAATCACTCGCCCATGTGGCTACAGTACCTGTCCTTCTGCCAATTTGTTTCATGCTGGAAGCAGTTCCGAGGACCACCCATCGAACCTTCTGCACTGTACAGTGCTGTAGCGTGCTCGTCGCCTTCCACCGTCATCAGTCTTAACGCACCACGTATACATTTACGATAGGCGCCTCTTGTGAGGTGGAGTGATATGCTCGACACGACAGACCTGATATGACCTCATGGTCGCGTTATATCAGTACTGTTTTTACTGTCAGTTTGTCGTCGCCAAGGTGCCCTCACATTAGTGAAGGCGTGAAGTCCTAGCGTGCAAGAAGACTACCGGTAATAAGTAGGTGATGGCACAAGACACATATTTTTGAAGTACCGGTAAGTAGGGCTTAATATTTAGTAGGGATTAGCAAACCTGGTATACTTAGGTACTTTGGGTTCACATGAAAGACATGACGACCAAAGCCGATACTATTTGATTCCACCCACCTCCACAAAGTTCACTTAAATAAACTAAGGTAGGTTGCCTCTCTTGCTTGACCCTGGCTCAGCGCGTGTCACGCCGTCGCAATTGAGCCAGGCGAGTTATCCTAGCGAAGTGGTTGGGCGGGCGGGTATTAGAATTCGGGCGGGTAGCAATCTGACGATTCGATTGGCTGCTGGTTGCAGTGCGGCGATGGGATTGGTGCAAAGGCGGGTGGAGTGCACCTAACCCTCGTCTCAACGTAAATCGACACGCATTTTGGCCAATGAAAAGGCAGTCCACACCAACGTTATAGGCCCAGCACACCACCATTCCAAATCCAGCTGGGTTCAACAAGCATCATCAGCAGAGAGGTGCATCGCAGCGAACCCACCAGACTACTACAACCGACCACTTTCTCACCACCCCCATCATTCGCCAGTCCGTAACTTTGATGCACAAGAGCATGCCGCCTCGCTCGTCCCACCTCGCGACCTCTCGCGACTCGTTCCCGTTCGTCATGGAAGGGGACAGCAGCTACTACGACGACCGGGACGACCACACGAGCAAGTCATCGTCGCGCGTAATCGTCATCAATGCCAAGGAGCTCGGAGGCGACTACGTGCGCAAGGGCGTAGCGTACTCGCGCCGCGGCGGCCGAACCAACAAGGTGGTGCAGTGCTGCAAGTTTTGCCACATCGTCGAAACGTGCTCGAACGAAGTGATCTACGAAGAGGAGCACATCTCCGTGTTCCGCCCGCTCCACCCGGCCAACGAAAGCCACATTCTGATCGTACCCAAGCATCACGTGCGCAACATCAACTACTTGTCGTCGTCTGACCTGTCGCTCCTCGTGCGCATGAAAGAAGTGGCGGGGTTCGTGCTGTCCCAGCTCGGCTACAACGTGTTCGACTCTCACATGCATCTGTCCTTCCATCGCCCTCCGTTCAACTCGATCGACCACGTACATATGCACGCGATGATCCAAGACGTGAAGCCCAGCTCGAAGCTGTCCAAGATAAACTTTGTCGGGTCGGTCAAGTACAGCACCGGCACGTGGTGGTGCAAGAGTTTCGACTACGTGTTTACGCGGGTCGCAAAGCTGCGCGACGCCGACGACAGCGCGTTGTCGAGATCTCGACAGATCAATCGACATAAGCGGGCCAAGTCAGCTGTCGTCAGTAGATAGAACAGCATGTTAGGGTAGGACATTATTAATTCGATTGGCGTTAGAACTTCATTGACGTTGTATTCTACCCTAGGGAGCTGGCTAGTTAACGTCCAGCGCAAGTCGGCATGCCGCCCTCCCCTGCAAGAATGCCGCCGTATGCTCAAAGAGCCACTGTACGTTGAAGTTGTCACGATCTGACTCGACGTTTTATCAGTGTGTACAACGTTTTTCTTGATTCTCGTGACGTTTAACTCCCCTACTGCCAATTTTTGGCACGTTTTAGACGAAGTAGTATATTTTGACGGGTATTTATCAGGAATATCAAGATGGGTGTATTTGGGTAATATTTCTATTTCAATTGGTTGTTTTCATTGGCTAAAAGCACTTGCGGACAACAAACTTCGTGTAAGTAACTACCCCATGGCGACTTTTCCTTGTACGGTGGCGCCAAGAGGACGCGCTGGCATGACTGCACAAGACGATAGACGCTGCGGTAAGATTGATCATAATACTTTGATGAACTGTAGTGCTCAAGTATGTCATAACGTTAGCTGTGCTATCTACGAACCGTTGAACTGCCGCGGTACCGCTGCCGATCCCCGACAAATTCTGTGCATCGACCAATGAGGAAAGTCTGCAGTTTCGTGTATGTTAAACTATGCGTATACTCTACAGCTGACGAAACAGCGGTACAGTATGCTGTAGAAGGGTGCCAAGAACGATGGCTGCGATAGAAATATGTTCACAGTCAAGTGCCCGACGTTGTGGCGCAATGGAACCGCACCAGCTTGCAGGAGACCTGAGCTCCAATCTGATATCCGTCGGCCGTCCTAATTTCCCTAATATGGGGTAGCGCTGGAAAAAACTATTTCCCTTATGGACGGGTAATTATTGATTGCTACCATATCTAGGGCAATTCTCATCGATTTTTCACCAGGGTCGGCAGTAACTAATACGTAGTAACTCTACTATTCGTCGAATTCCAGTAGTCGCTTTCACTTCTGACTTGCATGTATCGCCAATCTAGTACTAACGTAGAGTTCCAATTTAACAGACATATTTTGGAGTCGCTCCGGGAAATAGAAGCAGCTCGGCACTGAGGAATGGGTTTCGACTTCTGAAAACTGATAATCCACATGTCTTTCCAGGTACCGGTAGCACAGAAACATCGATTTTCACAGTATTTATCTATTGTCCCATTTTCCAAAAACAAAACACCTCAAAAGTAGGGTACAATTTAAGACCAAAATGGAACCAGAAACTGTTCAGAAAATCGATCCGTTACCTTAGTATTGATCCATGCATACATTCTTTGTGGTTAGGGTATAATATTATCTCAGGTATATATTCAACCTCGACGGGTTATGTATTTATAGAGTCAATTCTTCAATTGATTTATATTAAACACAAGGGATTAATAATGTGAGTATTAATTTAAAAAGATTTTGTACACAAATTTCAAGGTGATTGGCTGAACCCGATATCCCTTAATTTGTCCCATGTGTCTTACTCGGAGTAGTAAATTGGAACTCTACGGGTAGTCAATTCTGACATCTCAACTAATTCGCCAATGCCATGTAAATTTATGTGAATTTCTTCTTTAGCTTGTGTAGGACACGACTGGCTCCTACGTAGTATAATTGACGGTTGAAAACAAAAGGTTTAAACATCGAGTCGAGAGTACACATTCTCGTAGTACAATCTCATGTCCAGATTGACCAGTTCTTTTGGCTCAGTTGGGAGCGCGTCTACTTATAGATCACTTTACACCTGATCTAAGTATGATAAGAACACACCGATGGTCGCTGGTTCAGTCCCAGGTTTCCTCAGGTCCTTGGCATCGACACCAGGAAGCCTAGTTAGGGTCGAGTCAGAACCCTCCCCTTTCAACTCATCGCATCGTCCAACACTGAAGTGCAAGACGGCGTTAACGGTTGCGGTAATTGTCGCGCAGAAAAGCGACACACTTCTTTACAAGTCGCCATGTCTGTCACGGCTGCTACGGTTCGAGAGGTCCTAAATGTATGCTATGTTGTATTGTCTCCAAGACGAATAATGATTTTACTTGCCGCATTAAATTACGGTAGGATCAACGTGTCAAGGTTGAGGCGATCATCGAGTGAACATACAAGGGCCAACGGTACCAACAACATCCGTCGTGGAATTCGATTGGGCATTCAGAAAGATGGGCTCACGAGAACTCAAGACGGCGCAGGCAAGCAAGTGTGCCCCTTGGTGGGGAAAGCCGGTTCGAGTCACGTTCCCACGGCGCAAGTTCGAATTTGAATCACTGTATAGTTGAGCCATCCTTCTGGAGGTGTACTGTAAGATTAGATCGAGCTCGACCCGCGCGTTTCAGCACCATCAGCATTGGTTGGCACTTTCCCAGCGGACTTATTAGGGAGATTTCGCAATTCAAACCGTGTTCGCGTCCGTGAGTAAAATGACACGGACACGGATTAAATTTAGACGATTTCGCTGTATAAATAGATTTCCGCGTCCGGAATAAACGTAAGGAATCTGCTACTTTGCAATAATGCTGTCGTCAAGCGTTCTTGCTTCGCGAGGCCTGCCCGTCATCGCAGACTTCTGCTCGCACATTCCTACCGTCGGTCAACACAATCCAAATACACATAATCCTTCTGGAACTTTTCGTGGTTGTCGAGGATCAGGTGGAACCTGTGAGATGTTTTCTTGCCGTCAACGTCGAGCTTGGCAAGAGAACCCAGGAACTTTAAGCAAGTTGCACGCGAGCACCCCCCAAGACTTCATGACCACATGTTGGAGGAATGGTCGCTCGTGGTTGGCCTTTATCCACAGCGCCAAGTCATCCTCGCTTTTCTCAACCTGCTCATACTGTAGCACACGAAACCACCGAATGGAACCCTCCTGTTCGGATAACCTCTAACGTTACTTCTTATGATTATCCGAATCCGTGATTGCTGCTCTTTTCATGGATTCCGCTATAAAGTTTCATCAGTTTCCGTGATTGTACTAATTACTGAGGGTAATTATTACGGAAACGGACCTATTGTTAATAGGAACATAAACAAGTGTTTTTCTTGGGGTGATTTCCGTCCGTGTAAAATTTGACCTTTAATATTGTCAAATCGATCGAAACTAAAGCCCTCAGCAGAATTGACTGTGAATGTCATACTATAGTAACGTTATGAGTATGGATGAAAGAACCACTTAAGCCAATCAATTCACATTCTGTCAAATTTCTGCCAATCCAAACTACTGATTTCGCCCTATCCGGCAAAACGGGAAACTTTCCGAGCGTACTGTACTTCAATGGGCAAACCAAATTAGGTCAATTTCAAGAATTATGAGCATTACTTCCGACCATGTTCCTAAATTATCCGTTCCAACGCATTTTTACTGACTGTAGGACCACTAAATCTGACACCCCGTCGCTTTGTAACCTCGGAACCCCATACCCCGTAGTTCACGAAACTTATTAATCCCTAAATCCCGCTGAATTCATTTAATGCTCATTTTATGGGGCCATGCACATGAACCCTATTGTAGGGTTCTGTTTGGATCGTGCATGGTCAATACACATCGTAATATAAATATAAATTAATACATCGAAGTATGCATTTTGAGAAAGTAAAACTACTGGCTTATATACTGAGGGTCGCTCGTGATTTACTGTTAGCACAAATCAGATTCAAAATTACTTTACACGAGTTGAACATTTAGAGAATAGGCACATTTGAAGCCAGTATTTTGAAAGATGGACAGAAATATGTATTCCGAGCTTATAAGGGCTGGTCGGGGAAGATTTTATCCATTTACAATATTTCCGAGAAAGGAGCATTTTCGAGCAACTTTGGCACAGTAGGTATACTAAATGATGTATACCGTTAGTACATATGAAACGCTATTTGGGGAAATGACTGAAAAATCCAGATTTGGGTGAAAATACCTTAATAGTAATGAACGACTTACACACATAGGGGTCTGTCTGGATCAGGCACGACATAAGTGGCTCGAAATACAGCAATTTTCATCCATTTTCAATTCAATTAACGCTAGTTAATAAAAAAACTGCAAAACGATTATAATAAATCATCCATTTAAAGTGTCGTTAACAGAGAATGTTATCTTGATGCAAATCTGCTTGAGATATATACCAAATGAGAATATAGCTCGAAAATGTTTAGGGTTAAATTAAACAATTCTAATTGGACAAAAAGGTCATTTTCCTTGATCAAGATATTATGTTATGTCGTTTAACGCATAGGTTTTATGTCGCCTAGTATTCCGAGCTTTTGATTGGTTATTACTCAAATTATCCGGATCATGCTTTCCGGAATAATGCGAGTTTTCAGGCGGTCCATCTACGCCTGGGATACCGGTAAGTGCGGTCATGTCTGGCACTCATTTTCATAAAAAACGAAAAAGTAAGAGTATTGACCGACAGTTTTTGGATTACGAAAATATTTTGTCGGGGTACAAACTTGACATCGTTCTCACTAGGGAAGATTTTTCACACACTGCTTCTGCTTACACTCTTCCCAAGCGATAGATTCCTAGACATTTCCCAAAGTGTGGCAATTGTATATTCCGTCTGACGCACAACTGGTACGTCGCATTCTCGGACGTGGACTACATAACTGTAAATCTCCCCGACCAGCCCCTAGCAAGATTAACAGGTGATGTCGGAGTAGAATGCAGAACAGATTGATACAGTACGTGGCCAACGTACAGTACGTAGGTGGGTCTGAGTGCATCGGCGCTTGGAGCCGTGGCCATAACAGGAGTTACCTAGTGCGCTTGAAGCCGATGGCCTACAGGGGGTTGAGGAGACCAAGGATGCCGAACGAAAACAACGACGGCGCGCCTGTCTTTGGTACAGCGCAATTTCTTGCATGTATCTGGGGGTACGAGGAGCATGGTGGTGGTGGTATAACGTTATATAACGTTATTGTCAAATGACCGTCGCAACATCATAGTCTACAGTACCGTGTAGCGTATATAGGTTTAGACAGTGTTATAGATTTGGACTCCTCCGTAAAATTATATATTTGGGTACCAGATAATTATCAAGTTTTCAAGACTTCCTTCATTCTGCGAATATCTACAGACTGTAGTAGTTAGTATATACGTATTTTCAACTGGCCAAATTGAAGAGTGGAGGTTTTATTATTTAACGTGCAACTAATGTAGTTAAACCCAAAATCCAGATACGTTAAATACCGATTTCATGCGCTTTATCACTGGAGTGGGAGGTTAAAGGTCCCAACTGCCTCCGGATATTAAATACGGATAAGAGTCACATACAAAAATCAAGATACATTTGAGCGGCCACCCCTATGGCCAAATATCCAAGCGCCCATGTAAAATACCC